TTAGTAGTGGTTGTTAGTCTGTCTCTAAGAAAGATTCAATGGTGCCCAAATGCTAGAGGTACCAATCCGTTGTGACTTAGTGAGTTTGTTACCTCATACATCTTTCTCACTATTTTGTTCATGTCATATTGATATCGGGCATTCATGTGTGCCGATGTGAAACTAGTTCATCCGAACCAACTGATTACTTGGTTTAATCTTTTAGCAAAGAATGGTCTAGACCCTAGACCTCCAAAAATCGAGCTGAAGCAGTTAGACTCGTTCCTCTGGTAACTTTTAGCTAATTAAATCAAACTGTACTTAATTAAATCATTGTAAAATACGGAAATTTTCATATAAATTAATTACAGAATCAACAATTATATACTTGTTAAATTACACATGTGATCAATAATGCGATACCATGTGAGACTGAAAAAACACACGAGTCGTTTGTTTTTCATGCTAGGGTATCGTAACGGATACATGTGTAATTTATTTTCATGCTAAATAGAAGAGCCAAAATGTTTTGGGGAAAAAAAAAGTCACAAATAAATTGGTCATGAGCATAGTCTGAAATATCGATAATATCGACGAAATATCGAGGATATTTCGATTTTTTCGAATCAAGAATATTTCAGAACATATCCATGTACGTATTGTACAAATATCGACAATATCGACGATAATATCGGAAAATATCGATGTCGATAATTTCGCACACACTTTAGCAATATTTTATCAAAATATCGGTATAATATCACTAAAATATCGAAAATATCGATGTAAACGAAGGGAAAAAAAAGAAAAAAAAAAGAAAAAAAAGGGAAAAAAAATCACAAATAGATTGGTGATGAGCATAGTCTGAAATATCGATAATATCGACGAAATATCGAGGATATTTCGGTTTTTTCGAATCACGGATATTTCAGAACATATCCATGTACATATCGTACAAATATCGACATATCCATGTACACATCGTACAAATATCGACAATATCGATGATAATATCAGAAAATATCGATGTCGATAATTTCGCTCACACTTCAGCAATTGTCAAAATATCGGTGTAATATCGCTAAAATATAAAAAATATTAATGTAAAGGAAGGGAAAAAAAAAGAAAAAAAAAGGGGAAAAAAGGGGAAAAAAGGGAGGAAAAAAAAAACACAAAGGGGGTTTGAACCCCTCCCATTTTACTCCTCCAACACCGTAACCACCATATATCACTTATGTTTTAGTGATAATATGCTAAAATATTTATATTTATATGAGTAGCATGTTAACAATTACATGCAAAACTATTTTGGGGATTTATCATTTGATGAATACTCTTCACAATAAACTTACTTTACACATAAAGATGATGAAGATAGTGAAAATTTTGAACCTCATAGGAACTTTATGCGGTACTAAATCACTCATATATCTTATCATGCAATGTATAAAGTGTAAAATATTGTAGTAAATCATTATATATAAATGATTATGGTGTGTTTAATCTTTTTTTCATTAATTACTACATATTTTATACACTCACAGATGTATAAAGTGTAAAATATTGTAGTAAATCATTATATATAAATGATTATGGTGTGTTTAATTTTTTTCATTAATTACTACATATTTTATACATTCACTATGTTTGCCAGCTCGTTGTATAATCAACTTAAATAAGTTAAATCCATCATGTAATGCATTTCCTTCTAATTTTTTTAATAAACTAATAGATAATTGACTAAATAAACATTCTCAAAAGTTTCAATAAAAATTTCTAAGTTTTTCTTACAATTTCCGTGGTTTTTATTCAATTTTTATTGATATCGATAATATTTCGATATTTTCATGTTTTTTAATTACTGATATTTCTGATATCATCGATATTTTATACCATGATAATAAGAGAATAGTCACTGTGGCAGGCAGGTGAGGGAAGTAACGGCGTTTTGCGAAAATAACAAGCGACGGGTCCCCTCTGCGGCTCTGCGTCAGTCATATCTCCACCTTTGTCATCATCATGGCAGCTGAAGAGACACCTTTCAATTTCATTGGGATTCTGAGAAGACGAATATCAGAAATTACTGAACTACCACCAGTTTAATCTTAAATATAAATTTAACCCATACTATTAACTAACTAATTTAATATTTGGGTGGAAGCAGCACACACACACAAAGAATGGTAATGCAGTAGTGTTGAGGCCCTCGAAACCTTCCGGTGTTGTGTTCCACAGTGGAGGTTCAGACTCCGTTGCCCTAGCTGTTCTCATGCTAATGAAATATTCTGGTGGAGTGTCAGATTATCTGTCTGGCGGGAAGGAAGAATGTATTTGTTATTTCTATAATTTCATTTCTTAATATAATGGCAGAAATAATAGTTACTTTACTTGTCATGAACAAAGCGCAAAGTTTTAAGCTGGTCAAAGTGGACTGAAGAAGGAAGAAGGAAATTGGCAAGCAGAAGTTGCCTCACAAGTTTATGATATTATTGTGTGTATAAGATGGCAATAATTGTCATGTGAAAAGTGCAGAAGTTGCCTCAGACTCAGATTGCACTCACACACTCATCGTTCATCACTCAAACTTAAGATCACTCAACACATGCTACATTGCTATTGCTTGTGATACATTAAATTATTAAACTCATTGGCCGAAATGCATTAACTTGACAAGTGAAATACATAGCAGATATTACTGATTATATTGTTGATTTTTTTTTCTTGTTTTCCAGCGTTATAGTCGTGGATATTGAGTTGAAAATTAATGCAATTAACTTTGACGTGGAAGAAATATTAAGTAGACTAATCGTAATATGATCGAGAATGTGAATTGTTCACTAGACTAATCTCATCTGTTTTTATTTATTTACGAAGGGGTAATATGGCAAGGAATACAATTGTCAATGGGTTTGGGAAATTGTGCATTTCCATGGTTGAAAATAGGATATTTAGTGGGGGAGGAGAGGACCATTGTTCCCAGTATCCCCTCCTAATTAATATATTTATTGTTTAACTATGCATAAATTAAAATGTAAGCCACTACCTGCCATTAAATGTTTAATTAATTATGCATGTTAAAAAGTATAGAATAAAATGGTGGTGGTGGTGATGGTGCCATTAAAATAATATTGAAAAAATAGAATCTTTGTCCAGAATAACAAAAAAAAGACATGATCGTGGATGAGACTCCACGGTGTCAAGGATTCTCTGCTCTACAATATATAGTGCCTGCTTCCTCATTAGTCTTAGGAAGTCATCTCATTTATGCCTTATAAACAAAGGTTTTTTAATTTTTTTAATTTTGTGAAGATTAATATTAAAAGAAGGACTTTGGGTTGGTCATATAGATCACACTAAGCAATTTTCATTGGATTCCCCACTAAATGATGATTAAAATATGCAATTATTTAATACCCCACTACCTAATTATACCAAATTACTCTTTCCATTCCACAAACATGGATGAAATCAACAATTCAATCATGTAAACTTCATTCTTGCTTCTCTCTCTATTTCATAACTTCACAAATGTATAAAGTCCATCTTCATTATAGGAGAGTTATACCCTATGCAACAAGAATGATTAGCTACAAATCGTTATTGAGTTGACTACTTAGACCATCTCCAACCGAGGGCTGACCAGATAACTCATTTTAGCCTTTGGTCTTTCAAGATATTAATATTTTAATGAACAGTATATGATCATATTTGCTTCCGTTTCCAACCGAAAGCCAAAGAGTGAGCTACATTTAAACCCTCAAACAAGCTTTTTGTGGAGCTCAAGTGGACTTCCAATCTCCTCTCTAAATACAATAAACTATTAGTATATCGCCTTATAATACTAGAGAGCAGAGATGAAAAATAATACAGTGAAGTAAAAGTTTGAAAGGATAAAACTAGCTAGCCATACTCTTTGCCCTTCACTAGAAATATAAGTATTAACAATATGGACAATTTGGTAAATGTAATGTGGGTCCATTTTTGAATGAGAAGGCAAAAATGAGAAACTGGAAAGATGTTTCATGGACCTCCCAAATCGCAGCCTTCCCAAACGACAAACCAAGCTGCTGTAGCACCATATATATTAATATTATCCGGTCGACCTTCCCTTCCCTTCCCTTCAAAAGGATCTGGTTTATTTCCAACACCCAAAAATATCTTTTTTAATTATATATCTAGCTTTTATTTTATGAAAAATTAATAAAAATAATTTAAATTTTTTGAGTTTTAACGGAAATGATAAAATAAATGGTAAAGTGAATAGTACTAGATTTGAATTTTTAGTGTAAAAATATGATTTTTCGTTAAAATGAACAGTACTGAGGATTTTTCGTTGAAACTCTATTTATTTTAATTACTAACTAAATTTATGATTTACTGATTTTTTTATTTATAAATAAAATATTTTAAATTTGACTCATATAAATAAAATGACATATTATATTAGTGTTAGCTCGATGCCTATCAAGATGTTGTTTTATTAAAAGTTTTATTTTTATTAATTCCATTACTTAAAAGTTCAAAGGCAAGAAATCACCCACAAATCACCATGTTAAAAATGATAAAATAACATAATAAGTTACAATTTATATTGGATGATTTGACTTTGTGATCTTCTCTGATAAAACACACCTATTAGTACATATTGTTAAGTTAAGAACAATAAGTGGATAATTGACCAAACTTTTAAGTGTTTATCACACATTTAACGTAAAAAATAAGAAAAAATTTAATGTCTTTAATTTACTTTTGTATTTGCATTAATGAACCATTATTGACCCTTTGCAAATGTAATTATGCACTGAGGTTGTACAATTAAATTTTAAAACAATTTTCTACATTAATCCCTTTTACTTAATTATTTTTGACCTTTTTTTTCTTTGGTAGTTAGCTCCCATCGTGCTCGTGTAAAAGCTTAAAAATTGAAAGGAAGTAGAGAGAGAAAGAAAGGGGGGGCATTGTCAAGGACAAGAAAGAAAGAAATGTGCATTTTTTTTTTGTTCTAAAATGTGAATGTGGAGAGATAAAACGACAAAGTCCCGAAAGTGGGTTCTACAGAGAGAGAGAGAGAAGTGGGCAGTTTTATTGGGTTTTGGCGTTGAAGGTTGAAAGCAGAACCACCTCACCCAGCAAAGCTGCTTCATTTGGGCTCTCAGACAGAGAGAGAGAGAGAGAGAGAGAGACAGGGGTCTTGTGTTGCTGGGTAATGATCAATGTGCTTGCTTGAGCTCTAACCTTGCTGCGTCTGTGTATAGTGTAGCACTGTGAGAGTGAGAGAGAGCTCTGATTTTTGAGCTTTTTGGGTCTTTGTTTTGCTGGGTTTACCAATGGAGTTTGCTGGGTGCAGCAGAGGGAGCTCAGGGAGAGCTCTGGCTCTGGCCCTTTGCCTTTTGGCCTTGATATCTCTGTCTTGTGCTGCCAGATTGAGTGCTTCTTCAAGGCAGAACCTTGATGTCCAGAAGCACCTCAACCGCTTGAACAAACCCGCCGTGAAAAGCATCAAGGTTTCCTCTTTTTCTTTAACTTTACGTTCTTTCTTCATTCAACTTTCTTGGGCTCTGTTTGATTTTTTTGAAAAAATAAAAAAAAGGAAAGAGCTTTCTTGCTTTTTTTTTTTTTGTTCTATCCCTTTGTTGGGTTTCTGGAAAAGCGGTGGAAAATGGAAGAAAGTGAAGAAATTTATACATTTTCTGCTGTTTTGAATTAGTTTTATTCATTTCTTTTGGTAAAATGTTTGATTTGTTTGTATTTTCTTATTGTTTTCTCAGTTACCAAATGGGGGTGTAAGCAAATGGGTTTTCCCCTATGATTTTCACTATATTTTTTGTTCTGCAGAAGCTTATTATTATTTTTTAAAATAAAGCAATGATTTAGTTATAGTTTCCTCTTTCCTCTCTCTTTACACAATGATTTCCTTATAAAAAGTAGTAACAGAAGATCAGGAAAATGAAAAAGAAAAAAAATTGTAGCAATATTGTGAAATCAGGCCCCCATTTGTTATCACCAAACATTGTTCAAGTGATTAGGCATGACTTAAATGCTTTAGTTTGTTTACTCGGCCCTCAACTTTTTCTCTTGATTCGTGAGAGTTAGCAAGTTTCTTTGTTGTAGTATTTTGCAGTGCTTCTGTTGCAAGATCTGACTTGAGACTTTCTTTATTTTTTATGATATAGAGTCCAGATGGAGATATTATAGACTGTGTTCGTATATCTCAACAACCGGCTTTCGATCACCCTTACCTCAAAGACCACAAAATCCAGGTCCATTTTCCTCAACAATGCATCCTTAAATTTGACAGTTTTTTGTTCCTTTTGCTTATTGCCTTGTTTCTGAGTTTACTCGGGTCTGTTATGTTTATCAGATGAGGCCTAGCTACCACCCAGAAGGGTTGTTTGCTGAGAACAAAGTGGCTGAAAAAACAAAAGAAAAAGCAAATACCCAGCTGTGGCATGTGAATGGGAGATGCCCGGAAGATACTATTCCGGTAAGGAGAACGAAGGAAGATGATATTCTGAGAGCGAGTTCAGTGAAACATTATGGAAGGAAGAAGCAGAGAACCATACCAAAATCTGCAGATCCTGATCTTGCCAATGAAAGTGGTCATCAGGTAAACTTTCTCTAATGGGCGTTCTTAATTTTGCCTGTGTTCTTTGAACTTTATTTTTTGGATTTCTTAGTTTTGTTTTAATTGACTTCTTTGTTTTATTTGGGGTGATTAGCATGCAATTGCTTATGTCAATGGAGATAAGTATTTTGGAGCTAAGGCAACCATAAATGTCTGGGAGCCCAAGATACAACAGCCTAATGAGTTCAGCTTGTCTCAGCTGTGGGTATTAGGAGGGTCTTTTGGTGAAGATCTGAACAGCATTGAAGCTGGCTGGCAGGTACTCTCTTCTCTTAATCTAGGCCAAAAAGTAATCGAACCCGGATTTACCAAGTTACTTATTTTCTTAATGAAACATGAAGTATTAATCTTGATAATTGTTGCTACAACAGGTCAGCCCGGACCTCTATGGTGACAACAACACAAGACTGTTTACCTACTGGACTGTAAGCTTCTAAAACATAAATTTTCCCATAAATTTTTGGGTTTGCATCTTGGTTTCTCTCTAGTCTTCACTTATCTGATTGTTTTATTTTCACTTTTAATAGCTGTGCTAATGTGTGTTTTCCTTGCTCCTTCCATGATTACATTACAGAGTGATGCATATCAAGCCACCGGTTGCTACAACCTCCTCTGCTCAGGCTTCATTCAAATCAACAGCGAAATAGCAATGGGTGCAAGCATCTCTCCCGTTTCGGGTTTACGAGGATCGCAGTATGATATCAGCATACTCGTCTGGAAGGTGAAAATCAAAGCACAAAATGGATCATCTAGCATGTTGTAAAAGAATACAAAAGAATGGAGTTGATAAACTCCTATAGGATGCATGTCAGCATAGATGAGAATCAAATTCATCATAGGCAATATATGCAGCAAAATATATATGAATATACATATATGTACATCATCACCATTTGCAATTCTTGGGAGTTAGGGGGCGGGGTGGGTGCAGAAATCGATTCTGGTTCAGATTCTAAGAATCTTTTGGCATTTTCTTTTGCTTGCTGGTTCTCCCCTCACAGTAGTTGATAAAGGGACAAGCATTGATTATGCAGGACGGTGACAAGTTCCAAGCTTTCATTCACCTTTCACTGCATGCATGTCACGGGAAAGACTATAGCATTGTCCTCTCACTCATTTGTTTTGCTTAAGCTGTATAGGAACATAGGAATATAGATACACATTATTTACTACTCCTTTTTCAATTGGGAATACTGTTGTTTTTGCTTGTAGGATCCAAAGGAGGGGCATTGGTGGATGCAATTCGGGAACGACTATGTGCTGGGTTATTGGCCTTCGTTCCTCTTCTCATACTTGGCTGACAGTGCTTCCATGATTGAGTGGGGAGGTGAGGTTGTGAATTCACAACCGGACGGCCAGCACACATCGACCCAAATGGGCAGCGGACGTTTTCCGGAGGAAGGTTTTGGCAAGGCAAGTTACTTCAGAAACATTCAAGTTGTTGATAGCTCAAATAATCTCAAGGTCCCCAAAGGGTTGGGCACCTTCACCGAGCAATCAAACTGCTATGATGTTCAAACTGGAAGTAATGGGGATTGGGGTCATTACTTTTACTACGGAGGACCCGGTAAAAACCCGAATTGCCAGTAAGGTGAAAAAGACCATTTCACCCCTCTACTTTGCCCTATGTGTATCATTCAATCTAGCGTAATACCTTTTTCTTTTTTCCGCTTTGTATACCCTTCGTATTTTTTTTCCTTTTAACTGTTTAGGTTGGTTGGGGGGTAGTAGCTTTTTATGTAGTGGGAAGTTTTGACTCTTTGGTTTTTTAGTGAAAAAGAATGTATCTCTCTCCATGTAAGTGGTGGGTGGGTGTGAAGAAGGTTGGCCAAGTTTCTCAAAAGCCTAAAGAAACAAGGGCCTTTTTCTCTTATATAGAACTCCCTCTGTAATCTCCTTGTTTGTATACACTCCAATCTCTCCCTTGGAGTGGCTTGTTTAGTGAAATTAATCAACTTTCTGGGTCCAAAATGTTGAGCAAAAGCAATTCGGAAGTCTCACCTTTTTGTTTTTGTTATATGTTATTTTATTTTCTTGGTGCTATGTGGATTTTGGGGGTGGTGGTGGTGGGATGTGCTGCCCTAGAGAATATGCTGTCGGTTTAAAAAAGTTGCTTGCAATTGGATGGGAATGAGATCTTGCGTGAGTGGATGACAGTTCCTTTTGATAGATTAGATTATAGGATTAGATGCCCCCACCACAGCAGATTCAGAGACGCACTTCGCAAAGTTGCATTGCATGTCCACCAAAACCCACGCTCACAAGAAACTTTTCTGTGCTAGGAACACGATCATATATATTCATATATTATTATACAAGTAGAGGGGCATTTGCTCTTTGGTACTACAATATAGTAGTATTCCTTCTCATTTGTAAGTGAGAGGTGTTGTCGCCAAAGACGAATTTGAATCACATTATTGTTAGCTTATTGTCACACTACTCCTTGTTTCGGCACATTGAAAAATCTCTCCTCACATCCACCGCCCACAAAACAAATTTTTGGCCAAAGTAAAAAGCATGATAGTGTGTGATAAATTTGAAATAATGTCACAATGTCATTTGGATCTCCATTATGAGGTTTTTCCATTCTAAACCATCTTCCAACTTAGATTCCTTGTCTAAATTTTAAAGTGCGTGTAAAGCTAAATGCATTTTTAACCGACTAGAGAGGGACATGCATGTTGAGGTTGGAGTCGTTTTTGGTAATGGCGGAGTCAGTATAAGATCATTGGTTGTCTATGATCTCAATAACTTAAATTTTTTTATGTATATTTGTATATTTATTGTATTTGACCCTACAAACAACTATGACAAACTAAATTACAACATCTTCCTACTTCTTCTATTTTTTTTTATCATCCATGTCTTCTTTTTATTTCTTCTTGTGTGCAACTCTATTGTGCACATCAAATTCTCGATGAAATGCCTTTGTTGACAAGTCTTGGTAGTCTTCGATAGTACTATACAGTTTCTTATAGCCACTACATATCATAATAGTTGTTGACATGTTGGCACAAGTTTTTAACAAATGTTGGCAAGAATAAACATGCTTCTACCAGATGCTCGATGAAATGATCCAATAAAGTTTTTTTTTTTTTTTTTTTAAATTATGACCAATTACTTGAAAATTCTGACACCGCCACTGCTTTTTAGGGCAACCTCTAAATGTTGGAAGCAAAATGTTGCCACCTGGTTCGAAACGGTGAGTGAGGGGAGGACGGACTTGTTGCGGTGGGACTTGGCAGAAGCAAGTGTGATTGATTAACAACTAAAAAGTTGTGTTCCAACATCATCGTCTTTGTTTGATTGACCTCTTGATCCTACCAGTTGCTGTAACATTGTTTTAAAATTATATACTTGTAGCTATTATGAGGGGTTAATAGCAATTATCTTTGCAACTAAGGTCATGTGTTTGATTCTTGCGATTAAGGATGGGCAAATACCCATTGATTATGGGTAACCGTGGTTACCTGTTTATTTAAATTAAACGGTTACGGTTACGGGTAACCGTTTAGATAAATAAACGGTTATGAGTATAACCGTTTACCCATGAAATTTAAATGGACGGTTATGGGTATTAACCGCGGTTATAAACGGATTACTGTTTACCCATTTATTTTATATATGTAAAACTAACACAAACCATGTTCTCGATCCAATAATACTTAGCGCCCAATAAATTAACAAGGAATTCATCGATCATTCTCTCAATAACACTGCTACATGAATGATGATTCTCATCATCAAGGAATTCGCTAAATTAATTTAAATTCCTTACGGGTAACCGTAAAATTAAAGAAATGTCTCATAAACAATTTTTGTAACCCAATAATACTTAACAAACATTATATTTACCTTCATTGGTAACAGTTAAAAATATTGTTAGTAAACTATTATTTCAATTATTAGAATGGTATAAGGATTTAAAAAATTAAAATACGAAAATGTATGATGAATGTACCTATAACGGTGTTTAATTGTCAAAAAAAAAAAGAAAATTATGACAATTTTTTTTTAAAATTTTCAAGTTGTTAAAAAACATGTAGACGGGTGAAAAATGGGTCATGGTAAAAATAAAGAAGATAAACGGGTTAAAAATGGTAAATGGGTAAACGGGTATTAAACGGTTACGGTTAAATAGGTATGCGGTTATGGATATGGTTAACCATTTATAAACGGTTATGGGTATAGGTATAACCGTTTAGGTAATTACTCAACAGGTAAACGGTTATGCGGCTATGAACATAAATGGTTATGGGTAAATAATCTCGGTTACCCGCCGGTCATAACCGTTGCCCATCCCTACTTGCGACAGTACCAAACCAGAAACACTTTTCTGATTCAGATTGTTTGTATTTCCAATTACTATTTTGTGTGAAGATATCATGTTAGAGTGGCGGAAGGAAGGATGCACATGAATATGTGTGCTCATGTTTGCTTTCTTCATTTTCCCTTTTGGTTTTCGAGTTTGGACTCGTAATGTGTTAATCCAAGTTAGGATCAGATTTGGGCCAAAGAACTTCTCAAGCCCGCATTGCTTTACCTTTATATGCCCTACATATTCCTTACTTTTCTTATTTCTAAGTTCATTGTTTCCTTACTTTGTCGTCGTCAAAGAGTTATCACATATCACTGTATTGTTCTTGATTTTTCGCAAAATCTCATATCCTGGTTAAAGTAGACAGTTTTGAAATGACAAATGCTAAAACTTGGCCAACAAAAACAAGGGTTGGGTTACTGACTTTGCTACCATTTTGGTATACAAGAATCAATCATTTTACATAAAAAATAAACACGTAATTATATACATTTGTGAATAGTTCTAATTGTTTTTCCTCCATAGACTTGGACGTATCATTGCAAAAGATGTAGCTAAAGGATTTGCTGGAAGGAAATCGTGCAGCTGACATTTGATTTGACATGGCAAAAGACACCTCATTCCAAATAGCTATAATTGGAAAGGGGTGTGATATCCACATATTCCTTTTTACTTCTCACACATCTTTTTAATTTTCGGCCATTAGATCAGGTGAATTGAAGAAGATCAAAATGTAGAAATTAACAAAGGGTGTGTGGATAGCACACCCCAATTGGGAATTGGATCCTCTCTTAAGCGGGGATTCGATCCTCCAGACCCATTAACACATGCTATAAATAGAAAGTTCATTTAGAAGTTATAATAATTATAACTGTTGAATCAAAATCTAACTATCCATGTTAGTGGGACAGAAGGATCCCGATCTACCGCTCAGGAGAGGCTACAATTCCCTAGAATTGTGCCAACTGCTATGACAAGTTTGCTGTGGAGAAGACCGCTCTCTGGCTGTTATTCAATTTTATAATTTGCAAAATTAAAATAAACAAAAAAGAATCCACCTTCCCAATTCTTTACCTAATTATTTAATTAATTAACCAAATTCAACACCTACTACTAACCCAAGAAATCACTCCCATGCCAAGTAAACAATCTTTTGACTCTTCAAATTATTTAAAGCATATCAAATGTGTACCCTTTCTGTTTTTCTGATTATTATTTTCTTGTCTAAATAGTTATAATCCTGAGAAATTCATATACAAATAAACCTCTCACTCTCACACCCAAGTGGCCCATTCCACCTCCCAATAGACAAGAACTTTCCAATCATGCAATTGGAGCGTGAATTGCACGCGCACCATCTTTGTGTGAGTGTAACCCCCCCCCTTCCCAAGGCACAGAGATTGCTGTTATTTTATAGCCACTCTTCTAACTTTTTTATTTTTCATTTTTCAAAATTTTTATCTTTTGTCTGTTTCTCTCTCTAAAGTAGCTTCCTTTCGGTTTTTTCACTTCACAGTTCACACAAAGATGTCTGTGAGTGAGTGAGTAGGGTTTTTAATCTTTTACTCTTTCTCCCTCCTCCTCCTCTGTGAACATACAATATTGAGAGAGAAACCCAACACAAAACAGAGGTGAAGCCAACTCTTTTAACCTAAAACAAACCCTAATTACCCATATCATCATCTTGTTCTTCTTCCTTTCTTCTGCTATTTTTTACTCAAAAACCTTGGGCTTTCACTCTTGTTCTTCTCCACCTGCCCAGCTCCAATTTCTGCTCCAAACCCTAGTTTTGGACCCCAAATACCACTTCCAAAATGACCCATTTGCCCTGAATTCCCCACCATGCTACTTCCATTCCATGCCATTGCGGGCTAGTGGGTGAAGGGGGCATTGGGGAAATTTTATTTTTTTGGCTGAATTTTGTTGCTTTCCGGTTCTTATTTGGAATTTGGGAGATGTGCTCGGATGCATGCGTTGCGTAGGTGAGAGAGGGAAGCCATGGAAGGGGATGAGCGTCACCTGCTGCTGGCATGCGTGATTTCGGGGACCCTTTTCTCGGTTTTGGGTTCTGCTTCATTTTCTATACTGTGGCTTGTGAATTGGAGGCCCTGGAGGATCTACAGGTAATCATATTTTATAATTCTTTTGAAACTTTTAGTTGCCATCTTTGCCTAGAGAGAAACTAAATGCATCGATTAAATTTAATTTATGGCTGCATTAATGCATTTGTTAATATTAGGGAATTAAGCTGTAGTTAGATTGAAGTTTCAAGATTGCACTGTTAAAGTAAGGTCATTTGGGGATTTATTGCTGGGTTTAACTCTTCTATAAAACAGAGGCTAAGGGCTGCATTCAGTATGCAATTCTGGGATTTATATTTGTGTAAGAACTTGAGAAAGGCAGCATCTATTTAACTTCAAACTTAATACTATCACTTCTGTATGTTTTTTTCCAGTTGGATCTTTGCCAGGAAATGGCCGAGTATCTTCCATGGACCTCAGCTGGATTTAGTATGTGGCTTTCTGTCTCTTTCCGCATGGCTACTCGTTATTTCTCCAGTTCTAGTACTGATCATATGGGGAAGCTGGTTGGTTGTAATATTGGATCGACATATAGTTGGTCTGGCTGTAATAATGGCTGGCACTGCTCTTCTACTGTCTTTCTATTCA